AAGATTCAGCTCATTCTCTCGATCAGATGAGTGCATTGCCCACAGCCCCACGTGTGGGAGGAAAGTTGGGACACCTGTTCCCATGGACACACCTGCAGGAAAGGCCCCACAAGATCCATGAGTGACTCTGTAGCTGAACCTCTCACCCCTAGAGAGCCCGACAGCAAGAAGGAAAGAACAGCAGCGAGAGCACAGAGCAGTGGAGAAAGAAGGGAAACAGAGCGAGGGAGCAGCTGAGGGAGGTGGGAGCAGAGGAAGCCAGGCCTCCAGGACAGCTTGACCCTCCCCAGCTCTGAGCCCACTCCCCAGGCACCCCCATGGCTGGACAGCTGCTCTCAGCCCTGGGCTCTGCAGAGGGACATGGGCCCAGGGCTGGAGAGCTGCCCCACGGCTCTGCTGTAACCTGGCTGCAGGGAAGGGTGTTCATGCCTTGGAGACCCTGGCCCTGAGAGCAGAGGCTTGTTTCAGGGAGAGGAGGCAAGGGGACTTGCTCAGTGGAAGGGCTTTGCCCTGGAGGGGATCAGATCGAAATTTCTCAATTCTCTTTCCCAAAATATTTTCTGGGTTTAATTTCCTCTGATTATCTGATCACATCTCTGCTGCCAGGAGAGTCTCACCCTGGGAGGTGTTTCCCTGTCCCACTTTTTCCCCTGTTCACAGACCCATCTGTGCTCTCTCCTACAGAACCCTGCCTGTTTGCAGGGCACTGGCTGGGACATGTTGCTGTTTACAGGTAGAAAAGGGTAGAGCAACCCTGATGAGTCCAGCAAAGTTGATGCAGGTGCTGTGTACAGGGAAAGAAACGGCTGAAGACGCATTACGAGGCTCCCAGCAGACCTACTGACCACTCAGTTGTGCAGTTCAGGAGACTCCATCACTTCTTAAATCTTGAGAGCTCCTTTTCCATTTATCCTTTTCTCTCATTACATAAACCAGTGGAATAAGAAAGAGAAAATCTCCTTGTCTTAAGAGAAATCTCTGTCTTGACTTCTACATTAGGAATTCCCTTAGAAATATTATAGGAGTTAACTAGAGCTGTGAGCAGCCCTGACACATGTAACACCCTTTCAGCAGCAGCAGGACCTTGTCCTGCTGGGGTCTCACATTCCTCCTCATATCTTCTCCCCCAGCACCGTGGGGAGCTCCGTGGGCAGGCGGAGTGCTGACCCTGGCAAGTGACAGAGATCCTGCCCCAGCACACAGATCCTGGCACTGTGCAGGGACCCTGTTCCAAGGACAGCCCTGGGCACCCCTGCCTGCACCCCTCTGTGAACACCCCCACAGCCAGCCTGGGAGAAGGCAGCCAGCATGGCTCTCCTCTGCAGCACATCCTCCTCCTCCTCCTCCCCACCAGAGAATCTCTGAGAGATGTACTTACAGATCTCGTAGGCTGTGTGATGTGCCAGCTTTAAGGGATTCCACCAGGATCTGCAGATGCAATGACTTACAGGCCAAAGATACTGGCTGTGAAGATTCCTCTTCAAATTAGCTCTCAGCCTCATCCACCCCACACTGCCTTTACTTCTCTCTTCCCAGCTCCTCTTCCTTGGGTGCCTGCATGCAGTCCCCTCCGCCCTGCTGTGCTCATCGTGAGCAGAGCTGTCTCTCGTCAGCCCTGCCCGCTTGTCATCAGCTCCCTCCATCCCAGGAGCATAAG